CACCGCAGCCCCGCCTGCCGGGCTCCGGCGGTCCTTCCGCCTCAGCCTTCCGAGGAGCCGGAACTACAGGCGCGCGCCACCACGCCCGGCTGACTTTTGGATTTACTGCAGAGATGAGGTCTCGCCAGGTGGCCCAGGCGGGTCTCGAACCCGCGGGCTCAGGCAGTCCACTCACCTCGGCCTCCCAAAGGCGCGGGATGACAGGCTGAGCCACCGAGCCCGGCTCTGTTTTTTTTTTTGAGTCGTAGTCTCACTCTGTCGCCCAGCCTGGAGTGCAGTGATGATTGTGGCTCACCGCAGCCCCTACCTCCTGGGTTCAGCGATCCTTCCGCCTCAGCCTCCCTAGTAGCTGAGCCTAGGCGTACTCCACCATGCCCGGCTACTTTTTAAAAGTTTTTTAGAAACGAAGTCTCCCTATGTTGCCTAGGCTGGTCTCGAACTCTTGGGCTCAGGCGATCCTCTAGCCTCAGCTTCCCAAACGAAGTCGTGGGCTGAGGTGATCCTCTAGCCTCGGCCTCCCAAACGAACTCCTGGGCTCAGGCGATCCTCTAGCCTCGGCCTCCGAAAGTGTTGGCATTACAGGTGTGAGCCACACACCCAGCTCTGAATGTTTACTAGGGGACTTTAAAATCAAGCAACATTCCCACTCTGTTTGCCTGGTTGCTGCAGGGCCTGGTAGATATTCACTGAGCCTCAGTTTCCCCATTTTTAGTGACCATGCCTTCACTGAGTTCCCAAGTCCCTCAAATGCAGGCCAAGAAATGATGTCACCTCTTCTATTCTGGACATTCTCCCCAGAGTCAAATGCAGTGACATGCTGGGTCCAGTAAGCACAAATCTAGTTCTTGCCCATGTTAACTTAAGGGCTTCAACCTGTCTGTCCGTTTGCTTTTGCTTTCTCAATCAAACCCCAGGTAACAAGTGCAAAGCATTGGAGTCACAGATGACCTGGACAGGCCTGGTAGAGTCCTGGCCAGCTGGAGATCATGATTTTGATGTCTCTGTCTCTATCTTGATAAGGTTGGGCTGTATGTCCATCTCAGATATAGAACTGGCTTCACATCTGTTTCTCACTCTAGTAGTTCTTAGACAACTTCTAGTAGTTCTGCTAGAGTAGTGAGTTCTACCACTCACTTCTGGTAGTTCTTAGACGTTGAAGGTGGGGAGGAGAGAGACACGCTGTTTTTGCTACCCTAATGCCCTAATTCAACAAAACGTATGCAGCTCCAGGCACCTCTGATTCCTTGAAGAGATCTAGATCGGTCTCTTGGCAGCTGGGCTTGGTATATGTGTTCCACCATCTGGAACACTCCTCTCTACCCAGATTCATTGAGCCCATTTGATTTAGCAGTCGGATCTCACGTCTAATGTCCCCTTCTCCAGAAGTGATTCTGAGCCTTCCCCAGGGGAACTCAGGGGCCTGCTCCCAGGCTTCACAGTACACCCACCCATGTTAGAAGTGCTGGCCATAGCCGGGCTCGGTGGCTCAGTCTGTAATCCCGCGCCTTTGGGAGGCTGAGGTGAG